CTGCTCTATTAATGGAATAGATTCACAATAAGGCAGATTCAGATGAAATAAACCTCTAAACAGTTTACAATATATGTAAAAAATATACAATGGCTTGGAACAGAGAGGAAAAGTAATATAGACAATTATATAAAAAAATAGAAAGTTTTCAAAAATAGTCTTTAAAGAGAAAGTAAAAGTAATATAAAAAATAAGCCACATAAAGGTAGAAATCACACAGAGACTCTGGATTATATTGTCCTTGAGATTTTTATCTGCAGAGAGACATTTGATTGTAAAGGCTGCTAAATTAAACCAATATGTATGTTTCAAATATATCTTGACTTCAAAATTTATGTCTAAGGCTATATTGCTTTAGAAAGGAGGTTATGCTTTTGTTTCCACAGAAGATGATAACCAGGCTTATATGGTTTGATCAAAGAAGACCCCCTGACAGGCCTCCAGATGTTCCAACATCCAGATCAGCTTCAAGACAATTGGCTCAGATGATGCAGCCTCACAGACTACTCCAGTCAGGACTTGTCCATAATTCTTAATTTTCTCAGGATCCCCATAAGATTATCAGTGCCCTCAACCAGCAGGAAGTAGTATGAGAAGCTACACCCAAATTTCCAAAATATTGTTTACAAAATTTTTTATTTAAAGGGGTTGACTATAAATGCAAACTCTTTCTAAAAAAGGGGGGAGATAATATAGAGATGAGAGGATAAAAGGGTAGATGATAAAACCTACTTTTAAGGAGAAACAATTTGTTTAAAATTTTTTACATTGCTATAGATCTTAGTTTATTACTAATTTAAAGTTAATTTAGTTATACTCTATATATATTTCTACTCTTGTTTAAGGTATTTTGTTTATGTAACTCATTTCAATTGTAATAGATAATCAAGAAATACAGATTAATAGTCTTCTATGATTGTCAAACATAGCCATATTAGTTAAGTTTTCTAGGTATAAATAGATATATTTCAATTAGGTAGATAATCTTCAAACACTTCAAAGACCTACAAAATATGGCAATTAAAATATGTAAAAACTTAGACTTTCTGGACATTGAGACACATCTGCTCCTGGGAGCACAAATCTACTTCAGAGAAGATATTGGGCATTGAAGAAACTCATTATGGAGTTTTCTTTCTTTGTGGCAAACCACTGGGCAAAAAAGTGCCCTTGCATCGACTGCTCAACAGTATGTTGTATAAAGTGGACATGCAGGACCCATAGTAAGGTGACCATTGAAGTTTGTAAGACCAGATGGTTCTTCAGGGTCCTGCTTCACAGATGAGACTGTCAAATATTCTACAGGACATAGGGAGAAGCAACAAAAACTCTAGGCCTATTGGCTTAAGGTGGATGCCCCAATGTTTCAGAGAAACTTTGGATGACTGTCCAGGCAGGCAGCTGTTACTGTCATTATAGATTTTTAGAAATTGATTACAATGCATTTCCTGTTTACTTAGGTAATATTATATCCTTCTGAGGTCTCTGATATAGTTGAAGACT